CTGGGGGCCAGCCTGGTGGCATATGGTTAAGTTCACCAGCTCTACTTCAGCAGACCAGGGTTTCACGGGTTCAGATCCCCAGGGCAGATCTACACACTGCTCATCAAGCCAAGCTGTGGTGGTATCCCACATTTAAAATAGAGGAAGATTGGCACAGATGTTAGCTCAGGGACAATCTTTCTCAAGGGAAAAGAGGAAGATTGGCAACAGATGTTAGCTCAGGGCCACTCTTCCTCATCAAATAAGTTAATAAATAAACAATAAAAAAAGAATAATTACCCTCAAAAACACAATTTATCTCAAAAGAGAGACTGTTTGGTCATTGCTATAGACTGAATGTTTGTGTCCACGCCGCCCCCCCCCAATTTGCATCCTATCAGCCAGGGACATAATCCAGGCAAGACTGTAAAGGTGGGAAATGACAGAAGCCAAAGCCTCGAGGCCCCTTTGAATACTGCCAAATGGATTTTACACAAATTCCTCTAGCAATAAGCTATGAATATGTTCAGGTTGTTGTTTGCTTATTCCCAGGATGGGCAGAGGTTTTTCCTTGCTGGGGAACTATAGCTCCACATCCTTTCTTCCACAAACTTCAGGAAAACTAAAGAGAATTAATGGAATCCTAAAACTAAAATTAGCAAGGCTCTCAGAAAACTCTGAACTTTCACCGCCTTTAGAATTGCCATTGGCCTTGATGGCAATAAGACTTACCCTCTCAGGGACCCATAGATTTTCTCCTCATGAGCTAATTACCCACCCCCTACCCCCTGCATTTGAAAAATTTATTTCCAATCCTGGATTCCAATCCATTACAGACTAATGTGAATAAATACAAGTGATTTATGATGCCTCCAGAATTATCACTAGCAGGTTCAAGCTGTATTTCCAAAATGCCTACTTAAACAGGCCCTTCCTGATCTAAAACCTGGAGATTTAGTCATCTGGAAAAGGCATCAGAATAAAACTGCCCTTGGACGTTGATGGAAAGGATTTTATCAGGTAGTGTTAACAATGGACATAATGATAAAACTCTAAGGTAATGATCTTGGATCCACGGTTTCCAACTAAAAAGATGCACCACTTTCTCCTGATTGCTGGACATTCATTCTATCATCATCTCTTGCCTAGATTATTTCAATGGCCTCTTAGCTGGCCTTCCTGCTTCCACCCTTGCACTCACCCCAGTCTATTCAACACAGCGGCCAGAGTGATCTTATTAAAATGCAAGTCAGATCATGTCGCTCCTCTGCCCAAAATCTCCCAATAGCTCCCCATCTCACTTAGAGTTAATGACATAAGTCTTTACAATGAACTACAAGGTCTTTCTTACATGATCTGTTCCCCCACTACTTCCCTGATCACATCTCCTACTTTCCCTAATATTCCCTCTGCTTCAGCTACACTGATCACTTTGCTGTTATTCAAATACCCCAGGTATGCTCCTACCCCCATAGCCTTTGCACTTGCTATTCTCTCTATCTGGAATGCTCTTTTTTCAAATATCCACATAGCCAGATCCCTCATTTCCTCAGGTCTCTACCCAAAAACCACCATTGAGGCCTTCCCTGGTCACCCTGTCTAAAATTTCAACCATTCATTCCTCTTCTAAAACATTTAATACCACCCTTTCCTGCTTAGTTTTCTCCTTAGTACTTATCACTATTTAATATATCAGGGGTCAGCAAACTATGGCCTTTGTGCCACATCCAGCCCACCATCTATTTTGATACAGTCCACAAGCTAAGAATGGTTTCACCTTTTTTAAAGGCTGACAAAAATTTTAAAAAATAATATTTTATGACACATGAAATTATATGAAATTCAAATTTCAGTGTTCCTAAATGTAAAGTGTTATCGGAACACAGCCATGCCAATTTGTTTACATATGGTCTGTGGCTGCTTTCATGGTACAACAGCAGAGTTGAGTAGTTGCAACAGGGACTGTACTGCCTAGAAAACCTAAAATATTTACTCTCTGGCTCTTTACAAAAAATTTGCTGGCCTCTGTGATATTTATCTTCTTATTGTCTGTCTCTCCTAGTAGAATATAAACTCCATAGTGGTAGGGGTTTTTGTCTATTTTGCTCATTAAAATATCCCCAATGCTTAGGACAGTACTTACCATGTAGTAGACAGCCAATAAATATTTTCTGAATGAATGAATACTGAAAAAATATAGGCAGTAATTTTAGGTTACAAAGTTTGGTGATGAAAGGAAGGACAAAGAGAGAACTGTAATTCTCTCTTATCATCTTTTGAGGATGATGATAAGGTTGAAGGAAGATTTTTGGATAAAGAAGACCTCAAAATCATTATAGTGACAGGGAAAAGAAACAGTAGAGAGAGAAAGATTAAAGACCTTGAGTCGAGATTTGTAGAGAAGGTCCCCAGAGAAAGTTACTTCTTTCTCAGAGAGAAGAAAGAAGAAAGGATGGCTAAAGGGGAGAGAAGTTGATGAAGTTCATGTTGGTGGCTACAAGCTCAGATAATTACAAGATGAGGTTTTCTGCTAAAAGGAAGGATAAGGCATGGGGGCTTAAGGACAAAAAAACGTTTTGGAATCACCATTTTGAGGAATGTGGTAGACTGTCAATAAGAGTCAGTTTTATTAAGTGCCTAGCTGAAGAAAAACATGAAATTTTAGCAGATCCAATAAACGTGGTTTCACAAAGTTTCTGAACAATGTTTAATTAGCTCAAGGGAAGGAGTGAAAAAAGCAGAAAATGAAGATTAACAAGACTATAGTAAAATATGATGGACTGCGTAATTTTTTTTCACCTTTCTATCTGTCCTAGTATATAGGAGAGCATTCCTTAAATATGGAGAGTATCAAATCAATGTCTGCTGAGTTCAAGACAGGAAAGATGAAATAGAGAAATACACTAATTGTAATCAACAAGGTTACCTTGAACATCTTGAAAGTAACCTTTGGCTTCACCACCAATCTGGCCTTAAATGATATAATCACACATGAGTACACACTATTAGGACCTGCTTGGTTTCCTGTTCTCCTCTTCTTCCTTCTCCTCGCTACCAACACCATTTGAACTCCCAATTATAGGCTCAGTCCTATACTAAGCTCTAGGACCAAACTTGACATTAGAAAAGATTAGGAGGCACTGCTTCAAGTCTTGGAAGACTGTATCTAGTCACTTCGTATTCTTCTTCCGGTAATTGCATCCCAGTCTGGCTCCCTATGCCTGAGATCCACTTTTAAAAACCTCATATCCCAGTTCCTTTAGGATTTGAGCTCTACTTTGCTCTTCCTAGTCTGTCTGCACATACTCTCAATGTCCCAAAGATTCAAGTCATGCCTCTGAGTCCAAATCTCTATGGTGAAGACCTGTTTCCTGTTGACATGCTTATGTGAGGCCAACTACCTGTATGCCTAATTTATGGAATATTTCCAACACTTAGATTTCCCTCATTCATGATTTGCTTATCTGCCCATTAGGATACTCTGATGCCAGCAGCTTGGCTGAGTCAAAGGCAACTGTCTTGTTAATCTCTGTAACTTCAGAGACTAGCACAGTGTCTCATACTGTGCTTTTTTTTTCTATCTTGAGTAGCTGATTAGATATCCTTCCTTAGCCTGCAGATGCTTCCATCCCCCCAGCTGTCATGTCTAGCTCCAGGTCCAGGTCCTCACCAATCTGCCAGGCCAATATAAATCATAGAAGTTACAAAGGCTTTGTGATCACATTCTTTACAAGTCTTTAAGTAAGCAGCAGGTAACCATCTTTCTAAAATAGTTAATGGTATCCTGTACAGAAATATAATGAATTAGGTAACAAAATCTGTGTGATAATTTTCTTTTCAGTAAAAGTTTTCAGTTAAAAGTTTACTTTTAAGTAAACAGTAGTCAAGTATCTTTCTGAAACACTTACACATTAGCTTGTGCAGAAATATGATGACTTAAGTAATATTTCAACTTCTCTTCCAGGACTATGAATTCATAACATACAAACTAAATGGTAAATAGTCTTTTGAAAGAAAATATGAAGTATTTAGTCAGATAAATAGCCCTTCAAAGAAAACAAATCTTCAAAGAAAATAAACCTTCAAAGAAAATGTCTGGAATTACAACCTTTAATCATATATTTTCCCCTAAACTTGTCATTAAAACTTGAAAAGCAATAAAAAGCTTCACATTTTATCTGGGTCCACACACTTGTCCTTCCTGTTTTTTGTCTTTCCATGAGCCAAGACCCATCCTCCACCCCCATTTGTGTATACTATATGATACCCAAAGGAAGAAATGTCTCAATTGCTTTGGGAAATATGAATGGCTCTATTCCTTGTGTGTGTGTGTGTGTGTGTGCAAAACCTGGCCCTGAGCTAACATCGGTGCCAATCTCCCTCTATTTTGTATGTGGGATGCCACCACAGCATGCCTTGATGAGCAGTGTGTAGGTCCATTCCCAGGATATCCAGGGCCACCAAAGCAGAGTGCACAAACTCAACCACTGGGCCACCAGGCCAGCCCCGAATGGTTCTGTTCTTAAATAAGTTTTTAGCTCTTTTACTTTTTAGAATTCTGTCCTGATAAGAAATCAATTGTTAAACATTTTTAAGAGTGGTTGGAAAGGCAAGAGATAATTCAGAAAGTAAAAGAATGACCAGTGCATCCAAGTATTTGCTCTCATTGATTTCTTGACAAAAAAAACGTGTACCTTAGAACTTAATCTGCTTCAAAGGACAATACCTACAGATGGTTAATAGCAAATAACTTTGTTCAGGAGATCCAATGATATATTACCTTTCAGAATAGGGTACAAAACATAAACAATAAGTAATGGAATTAATGATCTTCCAAATTCTCTCTCCTTTTGGGAAGTTCTACTCATTAAAGTTTACAGTGCGCAGATCAGGAAAATATCAATTTGACTTCATCCCATATGAAGGAACTCTCAGACATCCTCACCTAACAGCCAGGAAGTCACACCACTGCATCTATCTCTTACATTTTCTGCCTCCGAAAAATAGGTAAATAAAAGAACCTTGTCAAGTTGTTTCAAATGCAGGTAACAGGCAGCCATGTTCCTTTGCAGCTTGGCCAAGTCCAAATCCATTTGATCAGATGCATACAATCTCAGAGAATAACAGTACCACTGTAAGGCATCAGGGTAATTTTGTACCTAAAGATTAAAAATAAATAACAAAATCACAGAGATATCTCCACATTTGATGCTAATTTTTCCAAGTCACCTCTAGAAACAAACAAAAAAATGGTATTTTTTTTTAGGCAACCAAAACACAATACCCTCTTTAGTTGAATTCTAAGTGCATTTTATTATCACTCTTGATTAGTGTAAGTTAGAGATAAAGTGGCACTCAATATTCTCTTTTCCCCCCACATTAGCTATTTCATAGAAACCATCAACAAAATGAAAACACAACCTACTGAATGGGGGGGAAATATTTGCAAATCACATATCTGATAAGGGGTTAACATCTAAAGAACTCATATAATTCCATAGTAAAAGAAAAGCAATCCATGTTAAAAATGGCAGAGGAAATGAATAGATATTTTTCCAAAGAAGACATACAAATGGCCAATAAGTACTTGAAAAGGTGCTCAACATCACTAATCATCAGGGAAATGTAAATCAACACCACAATGAGATATCACTTCATACCTGTTAGAATGGCTATCATCAAAAAGAAATGATAAATGCTAGCAAGGATGTGGAGAAAAAGGGAAATTTTGTACACTGTTAGTAGGAATGTGAACTGGTATAGCCACAATGCAAAACAGTATGGAGGTTTCTCAAGATATTAAAAATAGAACTACCATATGATCCAGCAATCCCACTTCTGGATATATGTCCAAAGGAAATGAAATCATTATCTCAAAGAGATATCTGCAATCCCATGTTCATTCCAGTTTTATTCACAATAGCCAAGGTATGGAAACAACACAAGTGTCCTTTTACTGATGAATGGATAAAGAAAATATGGTATATGAATACAATGGAATATTATTCAGCCATAAAGAAGAGGGAAATCCTGCCATTTGTGACAAGATGGATGAGCCTGGAGGACATTATGCTAAGTGAAATAAACCAGACAGAGAAAGACAAATACCACAAGGTATCACTTATATGTGGAATCTGAAAAAGAAAAGCACAGTCAAACTCAGAAATGGAGAGCAAAATGGTGGTTGCCAGGGGCTGGGGGTGAGGAAAACGAGATGTTAGTAAAAGGGTACAATGTTCAGTTATAAGATGAAAAAGGTCTGAGGATCTAATGTACAGTATGGTGACTATAGTTGATAATACTGGATTGTGTAATTGAATTTTGCTAAGAGAGTAGAACTTGAGTGTTCTTACCAGAAAAAAAAAGGTAAATATGTGAGGTGATGGATGTGTTAATTAAATCAACTGTTAGAACCCTTTCACAATGTCTATGTATATCAAATCAAATCATCACATTGTACAGTTTAATTATAATTTGTCAATTATACCTCAATAAAGCTGAAAAAAATTTCACATGTGAGATGAAGAGTCTAAGAGGGTGGTGAAACACCCTAGAAAACTCAAAATACAATTTAAAAGTTATTAACACAATGATACAAATTTTAAAAGAGAACACTCATATTCCACCACGCTAATACAGCTATTTCCATTTTTCTACATTCCATTTTAACTTTATCCTTTTGTATTTTTATATAGTTGTAATCATAGCTTAGATTAGAATTTCATGTTCTATTCTTTCCACTTAACTTTGTTTTGTAAATACTAATCTATGTTGCTATGTAGTCTGCATAGTTGTCAATTTAAGGAATATATAACATTCAATTAAGTTAATATGCCATGATTTTCTTAATGTTGGATATTTAGTTAATTTCCAGGGGTTTTACTATTTATAATTAAATGCTGCTGTGTTTTTGTCAAAAATATTTTTTTACTTTTGAGGCACTTTAAAATTTTCAATGGTAAGAAGCTATTATGAAAAATCTGATAGAAAGAACCTGGATAACTCTTTTTAAGCTAAAAAAATTCAGATTGCTCATGCACACCAAGGTCAGGTAGATGAGTCCCATGTACCCTCAAGAAGCATCACACTTTGCAATGAACTACAGGAGTTATTAGGACCTAAAAGGCATAAAATGCACTCTTCAACTAGAGACAACTGTGCTGAGTAGGTACAACCCTGCCTTTGACTATTTAAAGTGAAAATTACATTCTTCTCTGGTGTTGGAAGTTAGAGTTTAAAAAATCATTCTGCAAGACTGGAAAAAGAGGGAAAAGAAAAAGACTCAATAGGAGACGGGAATTCTGAAGTCATTTTTCACCTGCTCAGTAAGGAAATAAATACAGGGTCTCTAAAAGCAAACAAGGACACCATTCTATTTTGCAGCACTTAACCTTAAAGTGTAAAGGAAGATGTTTTGATATTACAAATACATTGTGAAATGATCACCACAATCAAGCTAATTAACATACCATCACCACACAGTTAACTTTTTTTTGTGGTGAGAACACTGAAGATTTACTCTCTTAGCAAATTTCAAGTATACAAGACATTATTACAACTACAGATACCATGCAGTATGTTAGGTCTCTATAATTTATTCATTTAATAACAGAAAGTTTATATCCTTTCACCAACATATCCCCAATTCCCCCAAGCATCAACCCCCAAAACCTGATAACCATTGTACTTTCTGCTTCTATGAGTTCGACTTTTTTAGATTCCACATATAACTGAGATCATTCAGTACAGTCATGCGTCACATAACAATATTTTGGTCAATGACAGACTGCACATACAATGATGGTCTCATAAGATTAGTACCATATAGCCTAGGTGTGTAGCAGGCTATACCATCCAGGTTTGTGTAAGTACACTCTATGATGTTCCCACAATGATGAAATAGCCTAACAATGCATTTCTCAGAATGCATTCTCATCATCAGGCAACATATGACTGCATTTGTCTCTGTGCCTGGCTTATTTCACTTAGCATAATGTCCTCCAGGTTCAGTCATGTTGTCACAAATGACAGGTTTTCCTATAAATCACTTTGGGTAGTATGGACATTATAATAATATTAATTCTAATGAACAAGGGGTATCTTTCCATTTATTTGTGTCTTCTTCAACATTCTTTCATCAATGTCTTATGGTTTTCAGTGTACAGATCTTTCATCTCTTTGATTAAATTTATTCCTAAGTATCTTACTGCTTTAAATGCTATTGTAAATGGGATTGTTTTCTTAATTTCTTTTAGTTAGTGTATTAGTGTATAAAAAGGGAACTGATTTTTGTATGTTGATTTTGTATCCTATAACTTTATTGAATTTATTTGTTCTAACAGTTTTTTGGTAGAATCTTTAGGGTTTTCTGTATAATATATATAAGATCATGTCATCTGCAAACTGAGACAATTTTACTTCTTCCTTTCTAATTTGGATGCTTTTTGTTTCTTTTCCTTGCCTAATTGTTCTGGTTAGGACTTTTAGTACTATGTTGAATAGAAGTGGTGAGAATGAGCATCCTTGTCTTGTTCCTGATCTTTGAGGAAAAGCTTCCAGCTTTTGAGTATGATGTTACCTGTGGGCTTGTCATATATGGCCTTTATTACGTTGAGGTACATTCTTTCTACACCTAATTTATTGAGAGTTTTCATCATGAAAGGGTATTGAATTTTGTTAAGTTTTTCTTTCTGCATCTATTGAGATGATCATATGATTTTTATCCTTCACTCTGTCAAATATGGTGAACCATATTTATTTATTTGCATATGTTGAACCATCCTTGCATTCCAGGTATAAATTAGACTTGAACATTATGTATGATCCTTTTAACGTGCTGTTGAATTCAATTTGCTAGTATTTTGTTGAGGGTTTTTGAGCTACGTTCATCAGGGTTATTGGCCTGTAATTATCTTTTCTTGTAGTGTCCTTGTCTGGCTTTGGTATCAGGGCAACGCTGGCCTTGTAAAATGAGTTTGGAAGTGTCTAAGATGAGTTTGAGTTTGATAAGGATTGGCATTAATTTTTCTTCAAATGGTAGAATTCACCAGTGAAACCATCTGGTCCTGGGCTTTATTTTGTTGGGAGATTATTGATTAATGATTCAATCTCCTTAGTCATTACTGGTCTGTTCAGATTTTCTTTTCTTCATGATTCAGTCTTGGTGCGTTGTATGTTTCTAGGAATTTATCCATTTCTTCTAGGTTGTTTAATTTGTTGGCATATCAGTTCATGGTAGTCTCTTAGGATCTTTTGTATTTCTATGGTATCAGTTGTAACGTCTCCTCTTTCATTTCTAATTTCATTTATTTGGGCCCACTCTCTTTTCTTCTTGTTAGTTGAGTTAAAGATTTTTCAATTTTGTTTACCTTTTCAAAAAACCAACTCTTATTTTTGTTGAAATTTTCCATTGTTTTGTTTTTCTGGTCTCTATTTCATTTATTTCTGCTCTGATTTTGTTATTTCCTTCCTTCTGTTATCTTTGGGTTTAGTTCTTTTTATAGTTCCTTGAGGTATAAAGTTAGGTTGTTTGTTTGAGATCTGTCTTTTTTGTTAATGTAGGTGTTTATTGTTATAAACTTCCCTTTTAGAACTACTTTTGCTGCATAAGTTTTGATATGTTGTGTTTCCATATTTGTTTGTCTCAAGATTTTTTGAATTTCCTTTTGATTTCTTCTTCTATTGCTATGCCTTCAAATTCACTAATCTTTTCTTCTGCGATGTCTAATTCGATATTAATACTATCCAATATATTTTTCATCCTAGATATAGTTTTTATCTCGAGAAGTTTGATTGGGGTCTTTTGTATCTTCCATGCCTCTACTTAACTTTTTGAATATATGGAATACAATTATAAGAGCTATTTTAATGTCCTCCATTATTGCTAACTTCTGCATCAGTTTCAATTGATTGCTTATTCTCTTCTTTATAGGTTGTGCTTTCCTGCGTCTTTGTATGCTTGGTAATTTATTACTGGATGCCAGACGTTGCAAACTTTACCTTGTTGGGTGCTGGATAATTTTTTATTCTGATAAATATTCCTGACCTCTACTCTGGGAAGCAATTAAATTCCTTGGGATCAAGCTGATCCTTTCAGGTCATGCTTTTATGATTTTTTAGGCAGGTTTGGAGCAGTGATCAGTGTAGGATGAATTATTCCCCACTACTAAGACAAGACCCTTCTGAGTTCTCTACCCAATGCCCCATGAATTAGAGGTTTTCCAGTGTGGTTGGTATGAATAGGCTTTATTCCCAGACCTGTGTGAGTGCCAGGCACTGTTCCCTCTAATATTTTTAGATGGTTATTTTCCTGGCTTCAGCTATTTTCATCCCATATTGTCCTGAACAGTGGTCTGCTAAACACTGGAGGAGGACTCTCTGATTGCTGGAAGTTGTTTTCCTGTACTGTGCTCTCCTCTCTGGTACTCTGTCCTATGAATCCTAGCTGCCTTGGTCTCCCCAGACTCTCAGCCTCATCTCTTGAAATTAGGAAACTTGCTAGGATCCACTTCAGTTCCTGTTCCTATACTATAGCCTAGAATATCAAGGCAATAAGCTGCACACTTTCAGTGCTCACATTATTTCCTATCTCCCAGAGATCACTCTCTGTGGCCTGATGTGCAATGTCTCAAAAACCATTTTTCATGTATTTCGCCTTGTTTTTTGCAGGGGTGGGAATGGGGAATTGTTCAGGCAAGAACATAAACCTAGTCTCTGTTACATCTTGGTTAGAAGTGGAAATCCATCACAACTTTTCAAAAGTACATCTCATTGTTTTTACACATGGATACACAAATGCATACAAAGATTAGAAGGAAATATACCAAAATTTTAAGAGTGATTAGATTATGAGTGGCTATTCTTTACTTTAAAAAAAAATTGGTAGTTTCAAATTCTTCTACAGTAACCTGGATTGTTTTGTAAAGGGAAAAATACTACTTCTTTTTTCACTTTTATTGCACCACAATTTTTTTACAGGCTTTTTTAAAGAGTAGTTTTAAGTACACAGAAAAATTGAGAGGAATGTATAGAGATTTGACATAGACCCCTGCCCTCACATATGCATAGCCTCCCCCATTATCAACATCCTCCACCAGAATGGTATATTTGTTACAACTGATGAACTTACATTGACACATCATACTCACTCAAAATCCAAAGTTTACTTTAGAGTTCACTCTTGGTGTGTACATTCTATGAGCTTAGACAAATGCATAATTACATGTATCCATAATTACAGTATCATTCAAAGTATTTTCACTGCCCTAAAAATCCTCTGTGCTCCACACCATAATTTTTTAAAGGGAATAAAATCCCTCTGACTTTTTGTTCCTCTTGTTAACATAAATTACTTTATCATCTTAATAATATCAGTGATGTCATTTCCCTACACTGTAAGCTCCCAATAGGGATAAATCACATCTTAGTATTTTCAAATAAATTCTTGTCCAATGCCCATTAACACTCTACATTATGAATATTTAATAAATAGATGGTACCTAAACAGAGAGAGATTATTAAAGTAGTCAATGCTCTACGATTTTTATAGTAAAAATACTGTTTTATTTGTTGGGGTGGAGAAAATATAAAGTATGAAAATACTTTATTCCCAAACCTCAAAACTTCTGGCAGCTTTTTTCCACAGAATGTCGTGTAAACAGCCTACTAATTCTGTTGTCAGTTGTCTTCCTGTTTGGTGACCTGAAGAAAAAAATCCCAAGCTCTGAAAACAAGAATCAAGATCTATTACATCAAATAAAGAGTGCTAACTATATTCAGAACTTATAATCTTTCAGTAATGGGTACAAATACAATCACATTCAGACAGGTTTTCATCATCAATTTTAGGTTTACTAGAAAAATTGATTATATAATACAACCAGAGTTTGCTACAATCACAGTAATTCACCCATCAGTCTGCGAGAGTTTTCAGCCTAGTCTCTTGTTAACGTATTTTCCATGTTCCAAATTTGATCATCATCTGGTGCCTTAATGCTATTGTGAATGAACAGACAGTAAGGCTAGAAATCATTAATAAGAAGTGTTTATACTATTATGTACTAACTAGATCAGATCAAGTTCACAAGAAAGGCCAATTATACCTTAAAGCCTCATTAAAATACTTTAAGACCACATTTACACATAAACTTTATTACTTTAAAGTGTAACTCGTGTCTGATTGTTTCTAGTCTAGACATTTACAGGGTTCAATTATATTAGCACACATTAAGGTAAAGTTTAAATTATAACAGAATTCTATCTCTTCCACTCCCTTGGCATTATCAATTTCCACAAAAGGCTTGATTAGAACACTGAGAGTCTCTGATCCCCCAGCCCAGTCAGTAGATGCAGTTTGTTCCATGACTTAGTTAAAAATATTCACATGAGAGTAAAAAGCTACTTAATGTATCTATTTAAAATATTATAAACCTTTGAGAGTATAAGTGTATAACTAGATATCACAATAAAACTTTGGCTAACTGTAATCTTAGGAAAATTAGTTATTCTGGATAATGAAGTTTTCTAACTAGCTGACAGTTTACTTTCATTAAACACAAAATATTTTTTTAATTAAAAAGTCTAAATCATTTCATTCAGCTTATTAATTTTTCTAAAAATTATGTTTTATGAATTATGTGTTTCTAAACATACTATCTAGTTTTCTGAAGCACAATTTGACCTTTATTTGACCAAAGTCAATAACACTAAAACTATCATATTTTATTTCACTATTAATATATCGTACTGATGTCTTTGGGAATTATTTTAGAGTACAGATTGTTATATTTTTAAAAATACTTGAAACTGTTTTATAAAATTTGTATAGTTTTTTCTTCCCCGTGGTAAGGTTATCTGTATATTTCCCTGCAGACTTTTTCTCTCTGTGTAATATGCTACCATTAAAATGCTAAGGGTTAGAAAACCAGATAAACCAAGCTTACCAAAATTGTGTCTAAAAATAACTGGATTCTTAGTGAGAGTCTGAAGGAAGGGTGTCATCAGTAAAACATAGCTCATAGAATCTAGAATTTAAAAGGCTCTTAAAGATTATCTAGTCAAAAGATTTCCTTTTTAAAAATAGCAGTGACTTTGTTTCTATAAAAACATACTACACTCAAAAAGAAACGTACTACATACTTATAAAAATTCAAGCAATCTGGTAAAATATAAAGAAAGCAACAAATCACCTAAAATGCCATCACTCGGAATAAATCCCACTGTTAACACTTAGCAACTATTATTCCAGTTATATCTCTATATACATGTTGGAAGGATGAATTGGGGCAAGAATTCTCTAGGAATAGAATCATACTACTTGTGTTCTTCAGGATACAGGGTTCTACAGAAGGCTCGGGGGTTAGGGGATGCTGAGATTTGGCTCTACATCTCTGCTTCAACCAGAGCAACTCTAGTCTATTTTACTTGGGGGCAGCGTTCATATAAGATTGCATAACAAAAGAATGCTGCTGCTAAAAAGAAGTTAAAAACTAGAAATGTAGTTCACTACTTTCATTTTATAGTTAGAAAAAAACAAGATCCAGCAATATTATTGACTTGCCTGAAGGTACACAGCTAATTTAAAATCAAACTGGAAACGTGAAATTAGGATTCTAACCTCACAATTTTCCACTACACATGAGTTTGAAGCTCAGAGGTTTGTCTGTTTTTGTTGATGTTCTGTTACTTTTGCTTAGTGTCTCATTCTAGCTCAGTCAACGTGGAATCTGGATAGGTGAGGTATTATAGTTAAAGGAAGGAAGAATAAGGAAAAGGAAGTGAGAATAAGGAAAAATCTGTTAACCTGAAAATTTTGCTACTGTTTTGACATCTGTCTTAGAATTACATGCATATTAACACGTTTCTAAAACACCTGCAGAAATTCTACTGACCTACAATGATTTCTTCAATCTTCTCCTTGGCAAGTAATTCTTCTTTCCTTTCTAAAAGCATGTCAATGTGGAGCAGTAGAGCTTTTCCAATATTTTCTGATGACTTAAAATGTTCACAGATAATCTTCAGGAAATAAAATCCAACAGATTCCCTGTTGAATGAGACATAATTTTAAGTGGTGTGAATAATTGGTTTTTTGATCAATGGGATTGAAGTTTATTTGAGTATGAGCAAAACAGGCAAGATAAAGCTATATCTGAGCTTAGGTCATATCATTAAATGTATAAATAAGCCTACTTGTCAACAATAAATCACTTAATTCAATTTCTGTTTAATTTATTAAGCCACAAATGTTTTCTTTTCATGAATACCTTTAGTTAGATAATCATCTCTCTCCTAATATCCAGTTTATGCTTTTTCTCCAGAACTGATGCCAATTTATAAAAATTGGAACATGAGATCCAGTAAAAGTACATGAACTAACATTAGAAATTTACCAGTCTCTTGTGATGAGAACTTTCAAGATCTACTCTCTTAGCAACTTTCAAATATACCATACAGCAGTGTCAGTGATAATCATCATATTGTACATTACACACCCAATATTGATTTATCTTATAACTGGAAGTTTATATCTTTTGACCACCTTCTCATGTCATCAGGCTATACATCTTAAACTTACACAATGCTGAATGTCAATTATATCTCAATAAAACTGAAAGAAAAAAGAAATTTACCAGTTCCCTCCGCCAAGAGCTCCTTTAAAAAGTTATTTATGTTTGATTACACAAATAATACACCAGTATATTCTGATTATTTAAAAATACAAACAGTTCATGGATTGGAAGACTTAATATTGTTAAGATGTCAATACTCCCAAAATGATCTACAGATTTAATACAATCCCTATGAAAATCTCAATGACATTTTTTGTAGAAATGGAAAATTATCCTAAAATTCCTGTGGAATCTCAAGGGACCCTGAAGAGCCAAGACAATCCTGAAACAGAAGAACAAAGCTGGAGGAACAAAACTCACACTGCCTGATTTCAAAATTTGCTACAAAGGTAGAACAATCAAAACAATGTGGTACTGGCATAAAGACATATACTCCAATGGAATAGAATAGAGAATCCAGAAATAAATTCTCATAATATATAGTCAAATGGTTTTCAGCAGGGATGCCAAGACCAATCAATGAAGGAAAGAGAAATCTTTTCAACAAATGGTGCTGGGACTACCAGATATCCATATGCAAAATAATGAAATTGGACCTTTACCTTACACCATATACAAAATTGAACTCAAAATGGATCAAAGACCTAAATGAAAGAGCTAAAGTATAAAACTCTTAGAAGAAAACCTAGGGGAAAATCTTCATGACATTGGATTTGTCAATGATTTCTTGGATATGACAACATATGCACATGTAACAAAAGTAAAAATGGATAAATTAGACTATATCAAAATTAAAAATTTCTGTGTATCAAAGGGTACAATCAACAGACTGAAAAGGTAAATTATGGAATGGGAGAAAATATATGCAAATAATATATCTGATATGGAGTTAATATTGAGAATATATAAAGAACTCCTAAATTCAACAACAAAAAACTAAACAACTTGATTTAAAAATTGGCAAAGGACTTGAATAGACATTTCTCCAAAGAAGATATACAAACGGGAACAATCACATGGAAAGATACTCAACATCACTAATCATTAGAGAAATGCAAATCAAAACCACAAGAGACACCACCTCACACCCATTATGATGGCTACTATCAAAAAGACAAAAAATAACAAGTGTTGGTGAGGATGTGGAAAATTGGAAACCTTGTGCACTGTAGGTAGGAAGGTAAAATGGTGCAGCCACAATGGAAAACAGCATGGTGATTCCTTTAAAAAATTATAAACAGAATTTCCATATGATCCAGTAATTCTACTTATAAGCCCAAAATAACTTAAAGTAGGATCCCAAAGAAATATCTGTACACCCATGTTCATAGCAGCATTATTCACAATAGCCAAAAGGTGGAAGTACCCAAGTCTCCAATGACGGATGAAGGGATAAATGAAATGTAGTATATACATACCATGAAATACTATTCAGTCTTTAAAAGGGAGGAAATTTTGACACATGGTACAACATAAACGAACCTTGAGGACAATATGCTAGGTGAAATACATTAGTCAGAAAAAGACAAATATTGTATGATTCTACTAATATGAAGTACCTAGAGTAGGCAAATTAATAGAGACAGAAAGTAGAACGGTGTATGCCAGGGGCTGGCGGAGGGTGGGGAATAGGAGGCTGTTGCTTAATGGGTACAGAGTTTCAGTTTTGCAAGATGAAAAGAGTTCTGGTGATTAGTTGCAAAGCAATGTGAATGTACTTAATACGAGTGAACTGTACACTTAAAAATGGTTAAAATGGTAAATTTTGTTATGTGTATTTTTACCACAATTAAAAACTTAAAAAATGTTTTTTAATAAAATAATGCAAATAGCAAAGCTAAAGCTAACATTTCCCTGGACCCTTACCCTCTCCCAGTCCCTTTCTCAGAGGTAACCACTCCTAAGTTTGCTAAGTATCCTTTTCAGTCCTTCCTTGGTGCATTTACATGCATATCTGTACCTATAGCAACATATTTTTAAAATACGTAAATTATATATTATGTATACTTTGCTTCTTTCTCTGAACAACATGTCTTAAGGGGTCATTATATATAGATTTACCTTACTCTTTTTAACTGCCACACAGTATTTTATAGTATAGAGATATGTTACTTTTCTTATCTATTCTTCTATTGATGATATTCAGGATGCTTTCAATGTTTCACTCTTACAAGCAATATTCCAGTAAATATCCTTGTAAACATGGAAAAATAAAATCTTAAGGAAAAAAAAAACTAATAAAACCATTCTGCCTATGAAAAGCCTAAATTTTCTTCTAACACTACACATGTGGAATATTTAGTGGCATGATATAAGACACTGTTCTTAGAAAAAAGAAAACATTTTCTCTGCTTTCATGGAATCTTCTCATACCAGCATAAGGAGGGGTAGTAATAAAGGGTTACAAATATTAATCGAGTATATGTTCTGTGCTGGGTACCGTGCTAAGACCCTTAGACACATTATCTTATTTAATTTTTTTTTTACAACTTTCTTTTTTTAAAGATTTTATTTTTTTCCTTTTTCTCCCCAAAGCCCCCCGGTACACAGTTATATATTCTTCGTTGTGGGTCCCTCCAGTTGTGGCATGTGGGACGCTGCCTCAGTGTGGCCCAACAAGCAGTGCCATGTCCACGCCCAGGATCTGAACCAACGAAACACTGGGCCGCCTGCAGCAGAGCACCCGAACTCAACCACTCCACCACGGGGCCAGCCCTATCTTATTTAATTTTTATAACAACACCACAAAATGTGTTGCATCACACTCATTTTGCAGTTGAGGCTGAGAAAGGCCATAAAACAGATTCAAGCTTATAGAACAAAAGGGACATTCAGGGTTTGAACCCAAGTCTGTTTTACCGAAGAGTTTCCCATTATATTCCACTGACGTCCTGTGAAAATAATATTCAGGGTCACAACAACAACAATGGTGATGAATATGATTCAAAGGAAAATGATTTAACTCCCCATTAAGTGTCTTCATTAATTCAAGTTAACTACAAATCATTTTTAGTTGATTCCTCTTCCTCCTATGAGAGATGTCTACAAACAATAAAGAAATGGACAAAATAAATGCTGACAATTAGGATCTAATCAAGTTATATGAACTGTTGCCAGGAATATGCCACCATCTTTCCTCTGACCATACTAATAAGTTTCATATTTGGACATACATTGTTGGTCAAATGCACATTCAAGGTAACATCTTCTCTCCTAATCTAAGTCTTACTCATTTCTCAAATTTAAACTGCAGGGTGACAAGACAGGGTACATATTTTTAAAATTTTTCCCAAAGAATTTTAGGGGCATTGTTGGAAAATTTTATAGTCTATAAAATCTCTTCTATATATTTTTTTTTACAAAGAATTGTCACAAACACTGGGAAGTTTTAAATTAATGAATTAAGAAATTATTAATTATCACTGTTCATAATATAGTGACTGACCATTAAAATGCATATTAAGGACTTCTACTTACAGAAAAATGGAGGAGATGTTCTCTTCCCTATTCTTCCTTCTAAGTATAACTAAAAACTCTTGACATTATATGTAAAATAAACACAAGATCACTCTGAAAGGTAGAGAGAAAAAGAACCACTAAGAACTTTAGGACCCAATGAATGGCATAATGATGAGTCTTTGGTTTTCTTTTTTGCTTCACATATCCTGGACTGGGTGCTGGAAAAGCTGGCAACCTGGGAACACCAATGGGTACAGACAGAAAAAGCTCCAAGAAAAGCATGCCTTCTCTAGCCAAAGGACACAGCCTAGCAAGGCTTATAACTTATAGACAATAACCACTTGGCTCCAGCAAAACACCACAGAGAAAACAGTGGCCTCATTCCCATTCCTGCTAGAAAAGGCTAAGTAGAGCCTAAACTTCCTTTTTAGCCAGTCTGTAAATAAGGCACTCAGCACCCTCACCAGGGTGTGAGAGAAGGCCAAGTAGGGAGCCAGGACTTTCATCCCTGCCGGGTAGGTAAAGAAGCTCCACACTTTCAAGGTGCTGGTGGAGACCACCTGGGGAGCCTGAATTTCCACTCTCACCTGGTGTTAACGAAGCATCCGTCTCTCTCCCTGCTGATGTGATGTCAGAGGAGGCCTAATGGAGACTTAGGACTTTCATAATCACCTTGTGGTAATGAAGTGACCCCCTCTCCTGCACAGTGTCACAAAGACCACATGTAGCAGTAATGAAGCACAAAATCAAGTGGTATCAGTGTAGGCTTAGAAGAGAGTCAAAACTCCCATCCTATCCAGCAGTAATGAGCAACCCTCCTCCTCTTCTTCCCTTCTCCATCCCATCTCAATGGAAGCTGAGTGGGAAATGTAGACTTCCATCCCATCTGGCAATAATGAAGTAGTGTCTCCCTCCTCCCTGCCAGATCAGTGTCAGAGGAGGACAACTAAAACAAGATTTGAATAAGACCCAAGTCTTATAACATAATATTCAAAATATTCAGCTGTCAATCAAA